AACTGGAGTCATGATAGTGCGGGGTGGGTGGATGGGGTGGGTGGGAAGCATTTAAGAACCAGAGGAGTGTTGTACAACCCTTCTTGATATGATTTGACTATGGAGTTGCATGAGATATGGATTATGACCCAACAAAACAGCTATTTTTTTCAGAAAGGAGAGTTAGAGGGTGGAACTCCCGCAGGGGCAGTTCCGCGCTGCCCAGCAGGGTGGCTCAGGTTTGGAGTGGACTCGATGGCCATGGCTTTGGCTTTGGTTTTCTGAGGACCTCAGCTTCTCTCGTGGCACCGACAGAGACTCTGTTCCTGAACTAGGCCCCGTCCTCAGAAACCAGGGGTGAGCATTGTGTTTTAGGGCAGCGGTTCTCAACCTGTAGGTCTTGACCCCTTTGCGGGTCAAACGACCCTTTCACAGGGGTCGCCCGATTCATCACAGCAGCAAAATGACCGTGATGAAGTAGCAACGAAAATAATGTCATGGTTGGGGCGTCACACCACATGAGTCACGGCATTAGGAAGGTTGAGAACCACTGTTTTAGGGGGACAGCGTTCACGCCAGGAGAAGTCGTGCTTGCTGCAGACAGGCTCTGGGCTGTGTGCTCTACCCTACGTGTGACAGTGCCTGCATCCGTGTGAAGGTGCAGGGACGGCGCGAGCCGGGAGCCGGGTTGGGTGGCGGAGGTGGAGGGAGGGCGTGTACTCTTTGGAAGGACCCTGAGCCCAGGAGCAGGTCGTGGTGTGGGGGTGGGGGGCGCACCAGAAGCTGTCCACTGAGTGTTGGACGAGCAGCTGAGGGGCAGGTTCGGGGGAGTGAGCCGAGCCCCACCTTGGCTGTGTTGGGGTGGAGATGCCCGCAGCAGCCAAGGGGACCCCTGGCATTAGCCCTAGAGCCCGGCAGCTCAGCCGCTGCTTTCCTTCAACAGGGAGTTCAGATATAAGACCAACATCACCTTCAATGACAACGACACGGTGTCCTTCCTGGAGTACCGCAGCTTCCAGTTCCAGCCAGACAAGTCCCACGGCTCAGAGAGCGACTACATCGTCATGCCCAACATCCTGGTCCTGGTGAGGCTGCCCGTCTTGGGTGCCCCAGGGTCCTGGGGGTGGCCCGGAAGCCCCAGACCGTGCCCTCGTGCCCTCGGCTTTTCCTCTACCACCTCCCAAAGCAAGGCTCCCCAGGACAGGCCGCCCACCCACCCACCTACCCACAGCACCAGGGGGGCAGGGCTCGGCTGAGAGGCACAGGGGCAGCTGTCCGCCGGTCCCTGACTCTTCCTTCCCCTACAGACCGCGGCCTCGATGATGGAGAACAAGCCCATGAGCCTGAAGGTGTTCTTGTCCCTGACCTTCAGCACCCTGGGCCAGCGCGCTTTCGTGAACCGCACGGTCGGGGAGTTCCTATGGGGCTACGATGACCCCCTCATGAACTTCATCAACCAGTACTTCCCGAACGCCTTACCCGTCAAGGGCAAGTTCGGGCTGTTCTCTGAGGTGAGTGTGGGGGCTCCAGGACCCGGCTGGGTACCGGCTGGCTCTGGTGGAGATCCACGGGCCCAAGCAAGACCGAGCCGGGAGCCGAGGCCTGGGCGTGGGTGCAGGTGCTGCTTGATCCAGGTGCTTGGCTTAGAAAACCAGAGGCTATTTCTAGACTAGGGAAGTGGAGGCTGGGCAGGCACACCACAGAGTCCTGCTCTGATTCCCACCCCCTCCCCCTGCCCAGTGCCTGGCATGGTCAGCCATGGGCCTTTAGGACCCTGTAGGCAGAGGTATGTGCAAGGGTGCCCCAGGTGCCAGCCACATGAAGGGGCACCACTGAGCAGCGTCTGCCAACCTGGAGGTGATGGGCACAGGCATGGGACTGGGGTGAGGGCTGACCCGGACACCAGATGAGGCTCGGCATGGCCTTCCGAGGGGTCTCAGGGATGAAGGGCTCCTGATGGAGGCGGTGGTCTGGAACAGGGAAGGCATTTCATCTGGAAATTGGGGGTGCATGTTCAGGTCACAATTCAGAGATTAACCCCAGGGGCCTGTTATGCTACCTGTAGGGTCTGGTCCTGGACCTTGTTCTGTTCCACCAGCTGCAGGTGTGCACAGAGTCTCTGTTCCTCCACCCATGGGCCCCTCTCTCTGAGCTCTGCTGACCCGGCTGCCACAAATAGTGAGGCACACGCTTGGCTGCTCATCAAAAGGTTGGGGGTGTTCCTGTCTACCCACAGGTGCCTCAGAAGAAAGGTGTGGCAACCCCCCTCCTCCCTAAAATGTTTACAGAACACACTTCTACTGCATACCCACGCAGGGCACCACTGGGAGTCGGCGTCCACTGCAGGGTAGCTACGAGGGAATCGAGGGCTTTGTAGTCACTCAGATCCACAGAGTGCGTCAGCTCGGGAGTGCTGTTCACAGAACCACAGCACTTAGCCCCATCGGGCCGGTCCACCAGCACGCCCAGAGCTATTTGTGGCAGCCGGGCTGGGCTGTGTGGACCAGAATCCCCAGAATGACAGCGCAGAGGTGGGCTGTCCTGGACACACTCTGAGGGGCCCACGGCCTCCTTTGAAGGGAGCCCGGCGGCCCAACGGGCGAATGCTGGGACGTTAAACTCAAGGCCGGAGATCCGAAATCACCAGGCACTCTTGTGGGAGACAGAGGGGATGCGATTGACATTCTCGGAAACCCCAGGGCGTGTGTCTCTGCTCTTGGACGTGCGCCACTGCACATCCGGGCTGACCCATGGCGCTAGGGGCTTCGGAATGTTGCAAATGAGCAAGCACTGGACAGCCAGCTGCAGGTGGAGGTTCGAGGCCACTGGGAGGTTCCTCGGAGGACAGCCTCGGCCACGAGAGCTTCCGGAAGATCGCAGCCTTACACACCCCCTGGAGCCAGTTCTCAGGCACACACGAGGTCACCCTGAGTCAGAATCTACCAGACGGCAGCCGCAAACAGCAGCACCCAAGAGCCCTCTGCTGCTCAGCCCTGCCTGCTGGGGCGAGCCTTCCACACCTGAGGCTGCCTCGTGGTCAGGGGGCTGCCAGGTTCCCACGACCAAGCCTCTTTAGGTTGGGCTGTGTTGGGAGGGTGGTCTGACTGTCCACCTGGGTGCTCCTACAGAGCCCGGGATGTTGGGGTGCTGCCGAGGGCAAGACAACCAGGTCTCTGCAGTCCTAGTGGAGTGAGTGGGTGGGTGGGTGGGCAGTCGGGAGGACAGTCAGGGACCCTTGGCCCCCGGCCCAAGGCCTTCACCATGCTGTTTCTGCCACTGTCCGCAGCTCAACAACACGGACTCGGGCCTCTTCACCGTGTTCACGGGCGTCAAAGACTTCAGCAAGATCCACCTGGTGGACAAGTGGAAAGGGCTCAGCAAGGTGAGCCTGGCCGTGCGGGCCTCCGGGCACTGGCCACTCCTCCCACAGGCTCTCTCTGAAAACTCAGTGGGCCGCAGCGGGAACCCCCAGGGAAGGAGGCTCTCTCGGAGGGGAGGCCTGCATTTTTCCTCCCCACCCGCTCTCTGCAAGGTTGGAGGTGTGGATGCCCCCAGAGAAAACAGGGGGTGGTGGGGGGGGTGTAGGGGGCGGGGAGAAAGGGCCTGGTCACAGTCAAAGGTCTTTAGAAAATTACAAACTGATATTACATAGTAAGACAATCATAATAAACCCATTGGTAAATTGTCTCTGTTTCCCTACAAACAGAGCTTTGTATCATATACCCGATAGATCATATCACACATTCATATATTGCTTTGAATCATATATCGGAACCATCCTAATCTCCCAGCGCATTAACCAAAAACCCCAAATCAAACTCACTGCCAGCGAGTCAGTGTCGACCCGTCGCGACCCTGGAGGACAGGAAAACCCCTGCGAGTGTCCGTCCGAGCTGTCGTTCTTTTTTTTTTTAAGATCATTTTATTGGGGCCTCTTATCACAAGCCCTCCATCAATTGTATCAAGCATCTGTGTACATATGTTGCCGTCATTCTTACTTTCTACTTGGGCCCTTGGTATCAACGCTGCAATTCCTGATGGGAGTAGAAAGCCGCCTCTTTTCGTCCTGCAGAGTGGCCGGTGGTGTCCAACTGCTGACCTAGTTAGCAGACATCCCCCCCACCCCCCCAGCCCCTCACTGTGCAGGACGCCAGGGCTTCTGGCTGGAGGTACTGCCGGCTCGAATTCCTTCAGCATACATTAGACGCTACCTGTCTTGAAAACCACCCTGTTAGGAACAAAGCCAGGAGCCCTGGTGGCCTCGTGGTTCCCAGTTGGACTGCTAACTGAAAGGTCAGCAGTTTGAAACCACCAGCCGTCTCTGAGGGAGAAAAATGAAGTTTCTATTCCTATATGGCAGCGGGTCTCAACCTGTGGGTCTCGACCCCTCTGGGGGTCGAATGACCCTTTCACAGGGGTTGCCTAAGACCATCGAAAAACACTTATTTCAGATGGTCTTAGAAATCAAGACACTGCTCCTCTAGCCGTCCCCGGGTGGGTCCGCCCACAGGCAGAGAGGCTGATCTGGTGAGAAAGAAGCTATCTCAACCTTCGCCTACTGTCGCAAAATGTAGCAATGTAGTTTACTGTTGTTATATTAAGACTCCACCTTGCTTCAAGACAAAAGTTCATTTATTTGTCATTAGAAATAATTATTTCACAATTTATAATTACATCTTGTTTTTGTGATTCGTCACTGTGCTTTCATGATGTTCAATTTGTAACAAAGAAGATACGTCCTGCCTATCAGCTATTTACATGGCAATTCCTAACTAGCAAAATGACAGTGATGAAGCAGCAATGAAAATCATGTCATGGTTGGGGGTCACCAGCACATGAGGACCTGTACGAAAGGGTGGAGGCGTGAGAAAGACTGAGCACCGCTGCTATAGAGTTACAGTCTCAGGATCACAGGGCAGCTCCACCCTGCCCTCGAGGGTCGCTTTGACTACTCCACTCCATGGCAGTGAGTCTTTTGTTGTTGTTATGAACAGAAGAACATGGAGGTGACCCTTGCTGGTTTTTAAACGATGTCTTTGCCATACGAACTCATTTACTCCTAATTAAAAATAAAGAGCGAGGAAGGGAGATCCCCGTGGAGCACAGAGCGGCCTGGGGGACCTTGTGTTTTGCAGGGGGTTGTGGGCTGGGTGGGAGTGGGAGCCCACGATAGCTTGGGATTTAAAAAACAGAAACAAATTTGGCATTTAATCCACACCGCACACAATTTGGGATTCTTTTTCTTTTTTAAGCTCCAGGAACCCTTGGTTCTGAGGGCCCCTCAGTTCTGACTTGGGGGGCCGTGCTGGGCAGCAGCTACGCACGTACCGAGCTCCCTGTGCGTGCTAGGGACTGAGTTCCATTCTTTCTGTTCCATCCATTCTGAGCGGATAGAAGGGGTTTAACAGCTTTCTGCTGGAAGACACTCACAGGACAAAATTAGCATGGGTGATGGACACGGTGATGTTTCCCCACGGCCCACACGCCCACCCTCCCCACCACAGAGGAAACCCCGTGCCTGGTTGTGGGGTGCTCTTCCTGCCCGTTTTTATCCACTTCCACCAATGTGGAAGAGGGGATGAGATGAGGGCAGTTGCCCCACCTCCTGACCCTGTGTCAGGATCCTCGCTGCTCAGCCCTGCAGGGACCTGCGGGCCGGGAGAGCGTGCGCCCGACTGGAGGGCCAGAACGCCTGTCTGCAGCCAGAATAGCCCTAGTCTCAGCCTCCACCCTTAAGCACACGCTTTTCACTGCAAGGTGGGCAGTTCTAACCCACCGGCTGCTCCACAGGAGAAGGTTGCAAACCTGATGGGGGCAGTTCTGCTCTGCCCTCCGGGCTCCTTCTGAGCCATCAGGATCAACTTCATGCACAGCAGCTGGGTTTTTTCAGGATCCATAATGTCACTGTGGGGTGCACCTGGGGTCCGAGGTTCAAACCCATCACCTGCTTCCTAAGGAAAAGGCGAGGCAGTCCGGTCCCGTAAAGATTACAGCCTGGGAAAACTAATGGGGTGCTCCGACTCTATCCTATGGGGTGGCTATGAGACGGCCTCATCTCTCTCCCTCAGAGCAGCTGGTGGGTTCGAACCGTGAGCCTTGCGATTAGCAGCCCAACACTGATCCCCTTGTTCTATCCCATGTGGGTCTCTCCCCGCAGGGACTCCTCCGTCACCGTGGTCACTTCTGTGACCTTACCTTACCTTACTGCTGTGTGTCTGGCCCATAGCTGATTCCATGAATCCCGGTGATCTACCCTGCCTCATGGGGAGTGCTCCTTCCAATCAGTCTAGAGCCGTGGGGGCACGCCCATTGTATAGATAGGGTAACTGAGTCCCCACAGCACAGGGTGTGGGGAGCGGCAGGGGACTTGGCCTCCGCCTGCCTGGCTGCACGGCTGATCTCAGCCCACCATGCCAGGCGCTGGAAACTGACCTCCATTGGAGGACAGTGTTGGGAATGAGAAGGCAGTGCCCACACCAGGGTCCTAGGCGAGGGAGGGAGGCCCGAGAGCATTTTGGGGGGCCATGTGTGACACTCCTGACCTGCTGTGCTCCAATACTTCTCCCCAGGTCAACTACTGGCATTCCGACCAGTGCAACATGATTAATGGGACTTCTGGACAGATGTGGGCCCCGTTCATGACTCCCGAGTCCTCGCTGGAATTCTACAGCCCCGACGCCTGCCGGTAATCCCCCAGCCAGGAGCAGGCTGGCCTCTTGTGCACCGGGCATCTGCTTTCGAAACAGCCCGAGGCTCTTCGACGGACGGGCCTGCTGGTGCAGGCATAACCATCCAGTAGTGAACGTTGGCAGTAGATGCCAGGGCGGCCCTCTCTGACCTCCTCTGGCGTCCCTGTTGCCATGGGGCAGGGGCCTGACGTGCACTCCTTCCATGCTTCTTGACTCAGCTCACCCACTGACCCATCCTCCCGTAGCACCCGGCTTCTGTGCCGGCTTGGAGGATGTACAGCAGGGCCACCCGGAACTCAAAGGAAATATCCATGATTAAGGGGGTTCTCAGGGGAGTTGAGGATCCCTGGTGCAGGGATTACGTGTTAGGCTGTGATCCGTGTGGTCGGCAGTTCGAAACCACCAGCAGCTCCTCGAGACACAGACTGCGCTTTTGACTCCCATCTATAGTCAGTCTTGGAAACCCAATGGGGGTGCTGTGAGTCAGCAGTGGCTCAATCGCCTTGAGTTTCGTTCTGTTTTGGGTTTTTTGGGGATGAAGGGAGCATCAGTAAGCAGTAAGGATACAGGTATTAGTCCACAGTAACACCCCTGGTCAGCCAGCAGCAACATCTCTGGTTCTCAGCTACTCCAGCCACATGGTCTCTTGGCCTCTGCCTCCATTGACCAGGAAGCCCTCCTGTTGGTCTCTCGTGGCCTTGTGGTATCGGGCCACATGAGGAGACCTGCTGGACCAGAGTCCCCGTGCTGCTTCTTGGAGTCCCCATGCCACAACCTCTGCCACTTCCAATGGTCATGGGATTTCTCTGTGCCCAAGTTAGCTCTTCTATGCAGAGGCATGGCTTTGAGGTGTGCCTTCTGCCCTTCTGCAGACGACGCCCCAAGGAAGCAAAGGGTGTGACTCGATTTACACCCTCCACTAAATTACAGATTTAATCCCAATTTCATGCTGTTCCTATTAGCGCCTCCAAGATGGGGTGACAGCCACAGGCGCAGAGTTCAGCGTTAGACTGCAGGGTGGGAGGAAGGACGGCTGGAAGGACGTGCCTGCGGGACGACATCCCACGGGGACAACGGAGCTTCTGTCCTAAAACCAGTCGTTGGAAACTCCCTGCTCCGACACCACACATCGGAGGCCACAGGGCAGAGGCTGGTTTCCACGGCGCTTGGCCAGAGACTCCTGAGCAGCAGAACTTGATCTTAAAAAGTTGATGCCACTGTTGGGGTCCGATGCGTGGATCCTGACGTGTCAATGGTGACCCGGGGACAGATGGGACAGAGCAGCAGGCTCTCATAGAACTTTCTGGGTTGTAAAATTTATTTTTTTACTTTTCAGTTTTCTTTTTATATATTTTTAATTAGTCATTTATTGGGGGGGGGCTCTTACAAATCTTATAACAATCCATCCTTCGATAGTATTAGGCACACTTATGCATATGTTGCCATCAACATTTCCAAAACAATGTCTTTCTACTTGAGCCCTTGGTATCGGCTTTTATTTCCCCCCCTCCCCCCACTCTCGTAAACCCTTGATCAATGATGTACGATTGTTATTTACTGTCCATTGTCTTCCTTCACCCACCTCTCTGTTATTTGTCCCCCTGCAGGGAGGTGAGGGGCATCTATATCCAGCCTTGTGATGGTTGTAATTGTCACAATAGTGGAGGACCCGGTCTGGTTTTCTTGCCAAGGGTAGATTTGAACTGCCGGCCTTCCTCACCCAGCCAGCAGCTGGGTGAGGTTCTCACTGCTCACCCTGTCGGGCCTCTTCTTGCCTTTGCCGGTCTGACGGTGTGGCAGACGAAAGGTCACCGAGCAGTCTGCCTGCCCGCCCACCCGCTGTCCGCTCAGCAGCAAGGGCCCATTTTGTTTTCTCTCCTGGGTGGCAGCCCGCACACGTGCCCTCCCTGTGTTTGCCATCTTTCCCAACACTCTGACCTTCGACCTTGGGTCAGTGCCACCCTTTGGCTCTCAAAGGGCTGATTAGCCTAAGGCGTGTGTGCCTCTCCCCTGTGTTGCCGCCTGCCCACCCACCCCTGAGAGACCTGTCTTATCATTTGGCTGGAAACGGAGGCAGGGGGTGGCGGGGGCGTCTGAGTTCTGCTCCAGGCCTGGAGGGTGTCTGTCCAAGGGCCATAGTCTCAGGGCTCCCATCAGCCTGTCTGGCCAGTCAGCCTGGTCTCTCTTGCTTTTGCGTGTGGTTCTGCCTTGTTCTCCGACCCTGCCCTGCGTCGGCTCATGTGACTGACGAGGGTTCCTTGTTCACAGCCACCCGCTCTCCCCTCTGGCGCCATCTTGGATTCTCAGGGGTGGCACCATGGATGCTTCTGCAAGGCCCCCAGGCAGCTGTGGGCAGTTATTTGGGGGTGCTGGGGCGGAGGCAGCAGGGGACTGTATAGGGAATTGGGAGGTGCTCCCTGGTTACACCCACCATCCTGCAGCCCCTCTGTCTCTCTCCCACCCCCACCCCCAGCTCTCAGGACTGCTTGGGGCTCCCTGCCCATGGTCCCGGCCTTCCACCACTTCTGGGGGTGGGGGCGCTGTGTCCTCAGTCTCTTCAGCTCACTCCGCAGAAGCCCGTCATCTGAGAATTAGCCAAGAAGAACTTGGCTCTGTAGCCTTCAAGCTTCAAGCCAAGCCCCTTGCTGTGGGACGGGCACTGCAGGGACAGGAAGGGGGAACTCCCTGTTCTGTGGGAGCTGATGTCCTACGGGGAGGGCGTGTGTCAGCAACAGGAGGCTGTCAGGACAGGATATGTGCGTGTGTGTGCACACGCACGCATGCATGTACTTTTTCAGATGTGATTTTAGAGACATGTTCTGTGAACAGACCCCGTGACTTTCTGAGTCCCTCCCACCTGTTGGTCAGGAGCCCGGTGGCGGCACAGTGGGGACCCCACAGCATGTGAGGGACAGCCGGGAGGCCTGCGGGGTGTGGAAGGTGGGCGGCGGGCCGGTAAGGGCTAGAGTGAGAACGGGGAGCTTCCCATCGGGTCTCCCAGGAGCAGCTGCAGGTCTGGGCTGCGGGTCGGGCTGATGGCACCTTGTTTTAGGGACCTGGCTGGTGCGGCCAGGTGTCTGGCGGGGTTGAGGGCAGAGGTAGGTGGGGAGAGGTACACAGCGGGTGGTGGTGCAGGTGGGTGGATGGTGGCTGTATTGATGAGCAGGGTGAAGTTTTAGCCACCTGCCCCAGGGTCATGCCTCTTTTCTTCTGACCCCCCGCCCCTCGAAGGTCCATGAAGCTGATATACAAGGAGGAGAGTGTCTTCGAAGGCATCCCCACCTACCGCTTCGTGGCCCCCCCTACGTTATTTGCCAACGGGTCTGTCTACCCGCCCAACGAGGGCTTCTGCCCATGCCTGGACTCCGGGATCCAGAATGTCAGCTCCTGCCGATTCGGTATGGCCCTGCCTGGTCCGCCTGGACCTCTGTCCTCTGAACTCTTGGTAATCCCCTGGGGCTGGAGGGCGGCAGCGGAAAGATGAGGAGACAGAGATGCCTGGTGTGTGTAGGCGCTGCAACAAGTCACCACACGGTGGCCGCACATGACCAAGGGCCCGCCTCACACTTCTGGATGGCCCAGGTGGTCCTGCCGGGCTGACACCGAGGTGACAGATGGCGGGGCTGAGGTCCTCCTGAAGACCCTTCTCGTGACCCCCTTCCCCATCTCTGCCTCCTGTCTCCGCCTCTTTCAGTTTTCTGACTTTGCCCTTTACTGAGATGCAGGTGAAGTTTACAAAGCATGTTCCACCCAGCTTGCTCCGTGACGTCACAGCCCAACCACCCCCCAGCACATCAGCCACATGGTCCCCTTTTCTCCTGCGGGCTCCCTGCTCCTACTCACCCGGGCTTCTGGCCCCTCCCCGCCCACTGTCACCTTCACTTTGTCTTTTGGGCGAAGGTGGCCCTTTCACCCCATGGGTTGGCTGTCCTGCGGGGCCCGTTCTGTGGGCCCGTCCCCTCTGTGGCCAAGAGGGCAGCTGCAGGAGCAGCAGCAGGGCCACCACCCATCCCCTCTTTTCAGAGCCCCCACGTGGGCACTCTGAGCCAGGCGTGCCAGTCTCCCCTGCAAACTCGGAAGGGGGTGAGGCCGGATGGCGGGATGATTCGGGACTTCCGGTGTCCGAAGGCGCTGCCTGCCAGTTGTGGCACTGCGGGCGTGTCGCCAAGACCAGCACGGTCGTTGGGTCGCACAGGTTTCAGTCGGAGGGGCTTGTAGACCGAGAACAGACGCCGAGGAAGGATGAGACCAACGGTGGAGCTCGTCAGAGACGGTGCTGGAAGATGGGCCCCGTGGGCCGGAACAACTCACGGGACCCTCATTTGCAGATGGGGCAGGAAGACCCTCCAGGAGATGAATTGACACTGCTGCTGCGGCCACGGAGACCCCACACGCTGCCCTTGAGGGGGACCGCCGCCCCCTGTGGATTTCCAGGACGGTCCATCTCTAGGGAGGAGAGTGCCCCCGTTCTCCTGCCAAGCGGCTGGTGGCTTCAAACCGCTGACTTGTAGTGAGCAGTTGCCAAGGCCCCGCCAGCGGCAGCAGTGGGTTCCAGGGGAACCACTGTGGGGACGGTGCAGAACCGGGCAGTGTCTCCCTTTGTCGCACCCCATAGGGTCGCGATGAGTCGGAGCCGATCTGAAGGCATCCGAGAAAGGGCGCAGCTTCTAAAGCTGCGAGGAGACCAGTTGCTGCTGTGTAAAAGCCAACGCAGAAACGGAAAGCAAGTTGCTGTGGGCCCACCTGGGTACTCTCCGTATCTCCAGGCCCACTCATTAGCACCTCATTAGCACCTCATCCTTTACGCCCCTGGCCCTGGGGGTAACATGCAGTTCCAGGGCTCAAACCAGGGGCACTGCGGGGCAATGTCTTCTGCTCCCCACACCACGCCCCGCTGTGTGCTTGGGTGGAGGGTCTTTCTCCCCATGGGAAAGCACAGCGGGTGGTCTTTCCTCCTCCAACCTGGTGGGTGAACTCTCCAGTGGATTTTGGTTGGACCAGGCCCCGAGGTGCCCCCACTGCCGCCGTTCCCTTTGGAGTCTTGGTGGGGTCAGCTACCCGGGACATCGGGCCCTGCCTCCAGAATAGGCCCAAGACCTTCTTCGGTGGCCCACGCCTGCTCACGGTCCAGACCACCCCTGACCCTCGTCCCCTCCCAGGTGGGGCACCTTGCAGCCGCCCTGCAACCTCCTCCCCAGCATGTCCAACATGATCCCCGCTAGCCTCAGGTGGCGCCTAAAACAGGACGAGGCCGAATGAGGTGACTTTAAAATGCAGACCCTCCACCTTGTTTCGATCACTCGCGGGCGCCTCAAGCCAACACGCGGAACCCAGCGAGCTCAGTGGCGTCGAGTGGATCCTGGCTCACATCGCAGAGCTGAACTGCCCCGTTGGGTTCCAGAGCTGGGGCTCTCTATGGGCGCAGGAAGCCTCGTCTTTTTCCTTCCCAGTGGCCGATGCGTTTGAGCCGCTGCTGCCCTGTGGCTCGCAGCCTGGCTAAGGACCCCCCTCTCCCCCCGCCACGGGCCCCTTCATGGGCACCCTGCTCAGCTAGACACCCTTGCTGCCATCCCAGAAGACAGTCAGGTTAACCCACCACCATCGAGTCTGCCCTGACTCACGGCGAGCCCGGAGGGCAGAGTAGAACGGCCCTGGCGGGTGGGGAGTAGGGGGCTTCCGAGGCGGTAACTCTTTTACAAGAACAGGCGATGTCGCATTTCTCCCCCAGAGCAGCTGGTGGGTTCAAACCACAGGCCTGGTGGTCGCAGCTCCGTGAGTGACAGCGGGAGGCAAGGCTCCCGGTACTTGGATCCAGAGCTCAGAAGTGGCCTGGAAGCTTCTCCATATCCCGACTTCGTCTGGTTTTGCCGTCTGGCAGGCGAGCAGAGAAGCTCCAGGCTTTTGAGTCTCTTCTGGGTCTGAGTCCCACAGGAAGGGGCCCTGTGTTTGTTTGTTTGTGGAGCAGGGCGAGATAGTCTTCTATTCGAAGTTGTAAATGAGGAATGGTGTCAGTGGCTGAGGTCCAAACCACCACAGAAGGTTCCACACACAGGCTCAAGCTTATGAGGCATTCCGGACCTGAGTTTCCTGCAAAGGATTTCCTTTGCACGGTCTCCCCTCGCCGTGTTCCTGAGACAGAAACGATTCCCACTGCAGCATGGCGCCTCTCTCCAGGACCATTGTGTTTCAGCGCAGGGCAGAGAGTGCACGATCAGCACCATCTTTCTTGACCAGCGCAGCTCAGGCTTTCGTACACGGGGCAACACCTGCCTGCCTCCTGCCTCCTGCCGGGTGGGAGGGAAGGACCACGGAACATGGGAGCCACGATGGCGGGCCCTGGCGTGAGGCCCCGGCCAGGAGGAAGGGTCGATTCCCTCTTTTCTTGGCTTCTCTCGCTGTTGGTGAGGTCCCTGGTGGGTGGGGTGGTTTGGTGTATTTTCTTCTTTGTGTACAGATTCCAGGCTTCCCTCCCTGTTCCTGGGAGGGTCTCCCCACTGCCCTGCAGGAGCTGTCCAATCTCCCCATCCCCCAGGCTCTGGTTGACCTCCTGGGGCCTCTCTGCGGGCATCAGTCTGGCTCTTTCATGTCACTGGTATCTTATGCGTCTGTCCGTTGTCTCCTCTGACTTAGCTCGTGTTTTCAAGGTTCACCTCGTGGTGCAGAGTATCCCCACTGCCACTGAGTCAATTCTGGCTCCCAGGGACCCTCTGGGGCAGAGGAGACCTGCTCCGTAGGGTCCCAGTGCCTGTCTGTCGTTCCAGAAGCAGGCTGCCTCTTTTTCCTCTTGCGGAGTGGCTGGCAGGTTTGAACCACCAGCCTTTGGGTTAGCAGGGCTGCGCTTAGCCAAGCACGTAGCTGCAAAGGGCTCCATTTCTTCTGGGCTGCGTACTATTCCTCTGTGTAGGTAGACCACCTTCTGTGTCTCCATCCCTTCACTTGGCGGACACTTGGATTCTTGGAACCTTTAGGCTTGGGAATTGCGCTGTGGGGGAACATGGGCGTGTCCACCTGGGCCCCCGCTTCCCACTCTTAGGTCTGCCTGAACCTAGGGGCGGAATGGCGGGCGTCTCTTGGCCATTTCATCTGAAGATAAGAAATTGCCCGTGGCTTTTCCTCTCAGGGTTTTGAAAGCACGTTGGACCAGACTTGTCCAACAGCCTCGTAACCACTGTCGGTGATGATCCCTGGCAATCATCTGCGGGTGCTGTGCCATAAAGCTATAAATTAATTATCGCCGATTGCCTGGGTGGGTCTGCCTGTGCCTGTATGGAAATAAAAGAGAAAGATGCCCGGGTGTGATTAGATACTGCTAAGCAGACTAATGCCCCAAGAAGGACCGTGTTGGCCAATGCAGCCGCCACCTCCTCTGCGGGGCTTGGCGTCAAGAGCTTGGTGTGGTGCCGCCTCCCTCTTGAGAGTGCCCAGCGTCTCGTCCCCTATGACAACAGGGTCCCCATGCTTGCCCTGATCATATCCTTTCACAGGGGTGGTGGAGGGAGGAGGGACGTGGGGTTTCCCCAGGATGTGGGACGTGGGCCCAAGGGGCTGCTGGGAGAAGTGCCCTTTCTGGTCACTCTCCATCCTGACCTTCACCGGGGGAAACTCTCCATGGGTGCTAACAGGGGCCCAGCGTCTTTCCAGTGCCCATGCCAACCTCCTGGTTTCAAGAGAGCAGAGTGGGTCTCGGGGCCGGAGCCTTGGGCAGGCAGGCACTGGGCAACCACGGCTGTTGGGGTCCAGATCGTTCCTACTCACGAGGAACCCCCCGGCATCCGCTGCCCCGGCCTGTGCACCATCCATGGGTGGCCTTTGAGTCATGGGCACAGTTACTTTCTGAGTGTGGCAAGTGCTGCCGTCCACCTTGCTGGTGGTGATGTTATTGGAGCCCGGTCCAACGCACGGCATCGTGCCCTCCCCCGCACCCAACCCCCGGCACATAGGAGTCAGATTGCGCCCCACCGGCCTTCCGGCCTTCCGTGGGTGGGAGTTCTGGTCTAGCCTGAGGAAAGGGGCTTCAGGAGCTTCCCCATGGGCCCCACTAGCTGTGGGATAAAGCTGGCGTGTGGGGTGTCTGTCTGCGGTGTAATCATTGTACAGGATGATGACAGCTAACTTCGCTGAGTGTCTACTATGTTCTGAGCGCTGCCCTCCAAAACAAAGAACTCTTTGAGTGGTTCGCGCTTCGGAAAGCAGATCACCA